AGATTGGTAATTATAGTAGCAGAAGCATCAGATCTGTAGAATCAAACATGATTCTAAGTTTTATAAACTCCTAATATTTAAAATAACGTTCTAATTCAATCAGAGCATTTAGCTTATGTGGTAGATTAGAAGTTTATCCAGTTTAGACTTCCGGTGGAAAGGCAAGGACGGTTAGAGGGGCAGAAATCCGCTCGTGATTCTAGCCTCTCTTTTCTTGAGTTTGGTGCGATCTTTCGGGGTGCTCGAGTCTTGGAGAGACTCGTGCCGGTGTGGGGGAACCTCGGGCTGCAGTGTGGGGAAAGCAACCCCCCTGTAACGAAGAGGAAGCCCTCCAGAGCCCAACGATCAAGAACAGCCTCCTAACAATGGAGGCTCCGAAGTCCGGACTGCCACCGATGGGAAGAAAAAAGTGAGTGGAAGTTTGCAAGCTCGGGGGGAAAGAGAGTCGTGGCAGAGAAGATATTTGTTTGACAATAGACTGATTCCAGGCTGTTAAATACTGTGTGAATGCCAGCTGTGAGCTCCAAGACGAAGCGGCTACAAAAGAATTGGTTTAGTGAATGTGAAAGAGCTTGGCAGGCAGAAGAGAGTCGGAAATAAAAAAGAAGTAAAGAGAATTTTGGAAGTCTGAAGACTCTATTATCACTAACATTTGGATTGAAGCTATTAAATTGGATCCAGAAGCAGAACGAAGCCGATTGGGGGGAAAGACAGAGCAACTCCATAGGCAGCACCCAGAACGCTGAAACGAGTGGGAATATTGCTTACTGGCAGCTGTTACTCAGCAAATCTTCATTTGCCATTTCCGGTGTGCTAGAAGTGGAAGCTTCCAAAGTGAAAAGCGGAAACAAAAACTCTTGTCTTTGGAATTTTCTTTTTTCTTTTCCCCAACCCTTTTCTGTGTGTACATACTTACTAAAAATAGCCTCTCTTCTTTCTTATTTGTTGATGGTATGCTATGTTGAAATATGCTTGCTTTTTTTTTTTCCCCTCTGATTTCCTCTTGATAAATATGTACATTTAGTAATGAAATATTAGAGTGTTAAAATATTGGATTAATTTAGTTAAGTTATTATTAATAGAGATTGTTATAATTTGAATGGGAATATAGGGGAGACAGTAAGAATATTAAGCATTAGCTACTTAATAAGCTTAGAGCTCTCTAGACCAATATTATATTTCTTTGTGTGGGTTTATCTGCGAATGTAATATATTTTATAGTTAAGGTTACTTTATATTGAAGTTAAACTAGAGAAAAATATTTACACTTTACTAATTAGTCAAGAATATAGCTACTTAATAGGTTGATAGATCTTGGTCAATTTTAGTTACAGAACTAAGAATACTGAATGCCAATTTGGAATAATATATTCAATATTCTACAACAACAAAAACAAATTTTGAAGGAAATGACTTCTACAACTACCACTGCTTTGAAATCTGGTAGGAAGGTTAATCCCACAATAATGTCTACTTTGACAACAACTTCATCCATGGCACAAAAAACAATAGAGGAAACACTACCAACAGAGAAGTCAACTAGCATCTCGAATGCGAATATCCAAGCAATGTTCCTAACTTTACAGGACTCATTGACAAGATTGCAAGAAACAATGATTAAAAACCACAGTGAAACAAGGGCAGATATCAATGAATTGAAGGAAGAAATGGGGAAACTAAAGACAGAAATGAAAGCGGACATTTCTAAAGTAGAGGATAAAGTGGGGGTGTTGCAGCAGGCCTTGGAGAAAAACGAAGTTATAATAAAAGAAGTAGAGAAAAGAACCGAACGAACAGAAAGGGAATTAGAAAGGGTGGATGAAGATTTCAAAAGTATGAGCAAAGAAATGGAGGACTCCCTTGTCCTCCTAGAAATGGACAAGGCAGCAACTTACCTAAGATTCCAAAATGTGACAGAATCAAAAGAAGAAGACTTGGAATACTTGATGGCAGAAATACTGGCCGGTTTATTGAAGATGGATAAAGATGAAATTCAAAAAGAGTTTGATGAAGTCTACAGGGTCAATACAAATTATGCAAGACGCCACAATTGTTCTAGGGAAGTACATATACGATTCACTAGAAGATGTGTTCGAGACATGATATACAGAACCTCAAGAGATAAAACTATAACCTACAAAGAGAAAGAAATTGTGATTCTTAAACAGATACCGAGGAGAATAAGGGAACAAAGGCGTGACTATAAATTCCTGGCAGCATATTTAAATAAAGAAAGAATCACATTTAAATGGCTTATTCCAGAAGGAATGTTAGTGTTGTGGAAAGAGAGGAAAATCAAAATAGATACTATGGAAAAAGCCCAGGATTTTTACGAACGGATGGTGGGCCCACAGGAGCAAAATAGTAGGGAGAAATTGGACACAAAGTTTCAAGAAGAATACAGTGGACATAAAAATAGAACTGGAACGGTAGGAAACCAAGAAAATACCTATTCACAACAAAAGACAGAAGGAACTACATCAATACAAGCGCAAGAAGAGAGAGGAATTGTTACACGACAAAGAGCAAAACAAAACTAAATAGATGGGAGAAGAAAAAAAATTACTATCAATAAACATAAATGGTTTAAATTCAACAATTAAGAGAAAAAGGATATTATCTAAATTAATTAAACATAATGCAGATATAACGTGCCTGCAAGAAACCCATATAAAGAAGAAGGATGAAAAATATTTAGAATGCCCGAAACTAGGAAAATTATTTACCACACCAGCAGATGAGGAGAAAAAGAAGGGAATCGCAGTATATGTGAAAGAGGATTTGAAATCTGAGCTAATATGGTCGGACTTAGAAGGAAGGACTCTGGGTTTGCAGTTCTGGATTAATGATATTCCAATTCTTTTAGTAGTAATATATGCCCCAAATGGAGACCAAAAAGAGTTTTTTAAACACCTATATGGAAAATTGGTTGAATTGCAAAAAAGAAATATTTGTATGGTAGGGGACTTCAACTCCATTGCTGATTTCCAAAAGGATCACAGTAATGCCGGGAAGAATAAAAAGGGGAAGAGAGAGCTCCCCAAGATTTGTAGGGAAATGATGAAAGAGCTAAATCTGACAGATATATGGAGAAGATTACATCCTGAAAAAAGACAATTTACATTTTATTCAAATCCCCACAAAACATGGACACGGATTGATATGGCATGGATGAGTGGAGAGATAGCAAATGAGACAAAAGAAGTGGAAATTTTGCCTAATGAATGGGCAGATCATAATCCAATACAGGTAATATGGAAGGGCAGGGCAAAACCAAAGAAAAGATGGACCTTAAACACTCAATTAATAAGAGAGAAAGAATATATTAATAAATTAAAGGAGGAATTGATTTTTTTTATTAAAGAAAATGATAACGGAGAAACCACGAAACAAAACGTTTGGGATACGATGAAGGCAGTTATAAGAGGCACAACAATCTCTTATAATGCTAAGAGAAACAAGGAAAAATACTCCCAACAAAACAAATTACAACAGAGAATTAAGGAGCTAGAAACCCTTCTACAAAATAACCCAAAAGAATCCAAACTGCAAAATCAGATAAGTATAATCAAACATAAACTGAATTTAATTGATCAAGAGAAAATGACTATGAATTTGAACTTAACTAGACAAATCTATTTTGAACATGCCAACAAGCCAGGAAGATGGCTATCTTATAAATTGAAAAAAAAGAAAGAGAAGAGACTGATATACCAGTTAATAGATAGCAAAGGAGATACATACCAGGAAATAGAACAGAAAAAAGAAATCATTCATAAATACTTTGAAGATTTATACAAAAGAGAGGATGTCAGTGAAGATAGAATAAGGAATTATCTAGATGAAGTAAAGGATAAGGCAATTGGGGAAGAAATGGCTGAACTATTAAATAAAGACATTACTGAATCGGAATTGAAATCAGCAATAGAGAGCCAGAAAAATAATAAAACCCCGGGCCCAGATGGGATCCCAGGGGAGCTGTACAAGGCAATAGCAGATCAAATCGGATCACTTATGGTGGAAGTTTTTAATGACGTTTTACTAGCAGCTAGGATGCCGGACTCATGGAGGGGGGCACTGATCTCGCTGATCCCGAAGGAGGATACAGATCCCAGATATATAAACAATTACAGGCCGATTTCACTCTTAAATACTGATTATAAAATATTCACTTCTATTATAGCAAACAGATTAAAAAGATTGCTAAACTTGTATATACATGAAGATCAAAATGGATTCCTTCCAACTAGGCAAATAAAGAATAATCTAAGAATAGTATTAGATGTACTAGAATTTTATGAAGCCCACCCAGAGAGACAAGTAGCACTCATGTTTCTAGATGCAGAAAAAGCTTTCGATAATTTGAATTGGCAATTTTTAATTCAAAAAATTTATAATTTGAATCTGGGTACCAAATTTGAAAATATTATAACAACTATATATGACACACAACAAGCTAATATAATAGTGAATGGGGAATGCACCCGCCCAATAAAGATAGAAAAAGGAGTGAGACAGGGTTGCCCACTCTCTCCCCTGCTCTTCATATTAGCATTAGAGACATTATTAACACGAATTAGGCGGAATTCAGATATAAAGGGATTAACAGTTAAGAAAGAGGAATATAAATTGCAAGCGTTTGCGGACGATATGATTTTCTTCCTTGAAGAACCAAAAGACAGGGGACCAAAATTGATGAGTGAATTAGAGAAATTTGGAGCAGTAGCGGGACTTAAAATAAACAAAAAAAAAACCAAATTAATGACCAAAAACCTAACAGAAAAACAGAAAATAGAACTAGAAGAAATAATGCAGATACAAGTGACAAAGAAAGTGAAATATTTAGGAATTTGGCTAACCCCACACTGTAAGACACTTAAAGAAAACAATTATGATAAGCTGATACATCAGGTAAAGAAAGATTTAGAATCGTGGGGGAAACTTCAAATTTCACTACTAGGCCGAATTGCTACTATTAAAATGAACATTCTCCCTAAATTTTTGTATTTATTCCAAACGATCCCAATTAAATTACATAAAAAGTTTTTTGAAGAACTCAATAGAACAACTCTGAAATTTATTTGGCAAGGGAAAAAACCCAGAATAAATGTAAAAGCAATGCAGGATATGAAGAGCAGGGGAGGGTTAGCATTTCCAAACTGGGAGTTATACCATATGGCCACCTCATTAGTTTGGTTGAAGGATTGGGTGAGTTTAACCAATAAAAGAATACTATTTCTAGAAGGCCATGATTTACAAAGGGGGTGGCACGCCTTTCTATGGGACGTAGGGAAAACCAGTCAAAAATATTTCCATAGACATTTAATTAGAGACGCACTATTAACAATTTGGAGGAAAATAAGGAAAAAACATTATACAAAAGTACCAGTATGGATTTCAACAATGGAGGCAATGATTCACCCAAACAATTTGGAGCTTACTAAAATGATTAAATACAAAGACTTATTAGACCCACAAGGAAATTTGAAACCGAGGCTGGATCTTCAAGAGCAAGGACATAAAATTGATCAATGGGTTTATCTTCAGATTCAAAGCAGATATAAACAAGACAAAAAAGAATTCGGAATTAATAACAAACTACAACAGTTAGATAAAATTTTATTAGGATCAAATAAAAAAAACATAACAAAATTTTATAACTACTTATTAGAAACAGAACTAGAAGAAGAAATCGTAAAAGGAAATATGATTGCTTGGAGTAAGAATGTAGGGCGCAGCATCACATTAGCGGAATGGGAGAAAGTTTGGGGCAGAAACAATAAGATTACCAAATCGGCAGCATACAAGGAAAATCTTTATAAAATGTTCTATAGATGGCATCTCCCCCCTTCGAGGTTAGCGAAGATGCACCCCAACATGAGTCCGCATTGCTGGAAGTGTAGGAAAAAAGAAGGAACCTTTTTCCATATGTGGTGGTCCTGTGCAGAAACCCAAAAGTATTGGAAGAAAATCAAAACTTGGTTGGAAGAAATCACCAAAGAGCAGATCGAATACAAACCAGAGTCCTTCCTACTAGGGATTTTTGATAAGCAAATTTCCAAAAAAACTAAATACATAACAATACACATTTTAACAGCGGCCAGATTAGCCTTCGCTCAACATTGGAAACAACACCAAATTCCATCAGAAGAAATGATTATTGAAAAAATCTCAAGATGCGCAGAAATGGATAAATTGACTTTGGCGCTAAAAAACAAAGACACTTCACTATACTATGACAGCTGGAATTGTTGGTATAATTGGATTGACCAAAGATAAATAATATATTATAAGGCATAAAAGGAAAGTACCAATACATAACAACGAGGTAGCGATATAAGTTAAAAACAGGTGTGGTTTTATGACACAAGTTAAGGTGATGAAAACAAAAGAAGATCTTGCAAACTGTTAAATAAGAATAATTTTAATCCTGTAACCTCTTTCTTTCTTTTCTTAAAATTCTTTCCCTCTCTTCCTCTTCTCTTTTCTTTCTTTTCTTTCTTTCTTTCTTTTGCTTATTTGTGTATGTATTGTGACTGGTTTTAATTGTAAAAATTAATAAACTATATTTAAAAAAAAAAAAAAGAAGTTTATCCAGTTTTGCAGTCTTGAGAAGCTTTTCAAAATCTAGTGTGTGTTTCATTTATTAAACTACGAATCTCTAAACAGGCAGCCATCCAAGGGGGCTATATTTGACTGACAGCTGTTGTATTTTTTGTGGGCAAAATTGTGACACTTGATACAAAATGGGCCAAACCAGTAGAAACACAGATGACCCGCCCCCCCAAAAAACCTCCACATATGAAAATATCCAGAGCAATCAGAAACACAATGAACCAAATGTTTAATTATGCTTTCCAGCTCTTAAACAAAATATTTTCCATGATATTTTATGAAATTACACACAAGAGTCCCTATCACGCCAGAAGTTAATTTATTTTAAATGTTTTTATTAGCCAATTTAAGAAGTCAATAAAGTATAAACTCAATTTAATCAGCGATATAGCAATAAAATATCCATTATTTCAGAACATCTCTAAAATCCAAATGTGTTATTTACAGAAATGGATATAATTTGTGTATTGACAGCATTATGCAAATGGCATGATCAGGTCATTTGGGTATCT